TCTGGGACAGCTCACTCAGGATGATCCTTTCTAGGTCCCACCATTTACCTGCAAATTTCATGATTTCCTTGTTTTTCATTGCTGAGTAATATTGCACTGTGTAGATGTACCACAACTTCTGCATCCATTCTTCAGTTGAGGGGCATCCGGGTTGTTTCCAGCTTCTGGCTATTACAAAAAAAGCTGCTACAAACATGGTTGAGCAAATGTCCTTATTGTGTACTTGAGCCTCTTTTGGATATATGCCTAGGAGTAGTATGGCTGCATCTTGAGGAAGCGCTATTCCTATTTGTCTGAGAAAGCGCCAGATGGATTAACAGTGCTTTAAATTACTTTAATTCTTTATTTTTAAATGAGTGTGGAAAGTTTCCTTTAAGTTTATGCCATTGTCTAATTACAGAAATTACTAAATCTGAAAAATGGTTTTAATAAATAGCAGCAGGATGAACATCGATGCAAAAATACTTGGAAACCGAATCCAAGAACACATCAAAGATATCATCCACTACGACAAAGTAGGCTTCATCCCAAGCATGAATCGATGGTTCAATATATGGAAATCTATCAATGTTATCCACCACATAAACAAACTAAAGGAGAAAAACCACATGATCATCTCATTAGATGCAGAAAAGGCATTTGGCAAAATCCAACATCCATTCATGTTTAAAGTATTGGAGAGATCAGGGATACAAGGCACATATCTAAACATAGTAAAGGCAATATACAGCAAGCTTATAGCCAACATCAAACTAAACGGAGAGAAACTTAAAGCAATCCCACTAAAATCAGGGACAAGACAAGGCTGCCCACTCTCTCCATATCTCTTCAACATAGTTCTGGAAGTCCTGGCTAGAGCAATAAGACAGTTGAAGGAGATCAAGGGGATACAAATTGGAAAAGAAGAAGGGAAATTATCACTATTTGCAGATGATATGATAGTATATGTGAGTGACCCCAAAAACTCTACCAGGGAACTCCTACAGCTGATAAACACCTTCAGCAATGTGGCCAGATACAAAATTATTTCAAAAACAATCAGTAGCCCTCCTGTTCACAAAAGACAAAAGGGCTGAAGGGGGAAATTAGGGAAACAACACCTTTCACAATAGCCACAAATGACATAAAATACCTTGGAGTAACCCTAACCAAGCAAGTCAAAGACTTGTATGAAAAAAATTTCAAGTCTCTGAAGAAAGAATTAGAAGAAGATATCAGAAGATGGAAAGTTGTCCCATGCTCGTGGCTTGGTAGGCTTAATATAGTAAAAATGGCCATCTTAACAAAAGTAATCTAGAGATTCAATGCAATTCCCATCAAATTACCAACACAATTCTTTACAGACCTGGAAAGAAAAATTCTCACCTTCATATGAAACATAAAGAAACCCAGAATTGCTAAAACAATTCTCAACAATAAAAGATCTTTGTAATAGCCAGAACCTGGAAACAACCCAGATGTCCATCAATGGAGGAATGGGTACAGAAATTGTGGTATTTTGACACAATGGAATACTACTCAGCAATCAAAAAGGAGGAAATCATGAAATTTGCAGGCAAATGGTGGGATCTAGAAAAGATCATCCTGAGTAAAATATCCCAGAAGGAGAAAGACAAACACGGTATATACTCACTTATATAGACCTATAAGATGTGATAAACATAATGAAATCTGTACACCTAAAAAAGATAATCAAGAGAGCGGACATGGGGTAAGATGATCAATCCTCATTTAGAAACACAGATGGGATGTGCATTGAACGTATGACAGGAGTCTACTGAGTGCATCTGAAAGACTCTAACTAGCAGTGTTTTCAAAGCAAAGACTCATGACCAAACCTTTGGCAGAGTACAGGGAATCATAAGAAAGAAGGGGTGTTAGTCTGATGAGGAAAGGATAGGAGCTCCACAAGGACCAAATATATCTGGGCACAGGGTCTTTTCTGAGACTGACATGCAACCATGGACCATGTATGAATGTAACCTAGAACCTCTGCTCAGATGTAGCCTGTGGTAGCTCAGTAACCAATTGGTTTCCCATAGTGAGGGGAACAAGGACTATTTCTAACAGGAACTCAATGACTGGCTCTTTGGCCTCCCCATCCCCCCAGCAGTCCTGTTAGGCCACAGAGGAAAGCTTTGCAGCCAGTCCTGAAGATACCTGATAAAACAGGATCAGATGAATGGGGAGGAGGTCCCCCCCTATTAGTGGACATGGCAAGGGGCATGGTGGAGATGAGGGAGGGAGGGAGGGACTGGGAGGTAATGAGGGATCGGGACACGGCTGGGATACAGAGTTAATAAAATGTAACTGATAAGAAAAAAATAAAATACAAAAAAAAAAAAAAGATCTTCAGGAGGTATCTCCATCCCTGATCTCAAGCTGTACTATAGAGCGACAATACTAAAAACTGCATGGTACTGTCATAGAAACAGACTGGTGGATCAATGGAATCAAATAGAAGACCCTGACATAAATCCACACACTTATGGACACCTGAATTTTTTACAAAGAAGCCAAAACCATTCAATGGAAAAAAAGACAGCATCTTCAACAAATGGTGCTGGTCCAACTAGATGTCTACATGTAGAAAAATGCAAATAGATCCATACTTATCACCCTGCACAAAACTAAAGTCCAAGTGGATCAAAGACCTCAACATAAAATGAGAAACACTAAAGCACTTAGAAGAAAAAGTGGGGAAGAACCTTGAATTCATTGGGACAGGAGACAACTTCCTGAACAGAACACCAACAGCACAGGCTCTAAGAGCAAAAATCAATAAATGGGATCTCATGAAATTGAAGAGCTTCTGTAAAGCAAAGGACACTATCCTCAGAACAAAATGACTACCTACATATTGAGAAAGGATCTTCACCAACCCTATATCTGACAGAGGACTAATATCTAGTATATATAAAGAACTCAAGAAGTTAAGCAGCAACAAATCAAGTCATCCAATCAAAATATGGAGTGCAGAGCTAAAAAGAGAATTTTCAATAGAGGAATATCTAATGACAGAGAAACACTTAAAGATGTGTTCAACGTCCTTAGTCATCAGGGAAATGCACATCAAAACAACCCTAAGATTTCACCTTACACCCATCAGAATAGCTAAGATCAAAAACTCAAGTGACAACACATCTGCAGAGGTTGTGAAGAAAGGGGAACCCCCTCCACTGCTAGTGAGAATGTAAACTTGTACAACCACTCTGGAAAGCAATCTGCTGGTTCCTCAGACAACTAGGAATGGCGCTTCCTCAAGATCCAGCTCTACCACTCCTAGGCATATACCCAAAAGAGGTTCAAGTACACAATAAGGACATTGTCCCAACCATGTTTGTAGCAGCCTTCTTTGTAAGAGCCTGAAACTAAAAACAGCCCAGATACCCTTCACTAGAGGAATGGATACAGAAATTGTGGTACATCTACACAATGGAATATTACTCAACAATGAAAAAAAGGAAATCATGAAATTTGCAGGTAAATGGTGGGATCTGGAAAAGATCATCCTGAGTGAGCTATCCCAAAAGCAGAAAGACACACATGGCATATACTCACTCATATAGACATATAATATAGGATAAACCTACTAACATCTGTACACCTAAAAAAACTAATCAAGAGGGAGAACTCTTGCTAAAATACTCAATTCTTATCCAGAAAGGCAAAGAGAATGGACATCAGAAGAAGGAGAAAAGAGAGAACAAGGGCTAGAGAGATGGCTCAGTGGATAAGAGCACTGTCTCCTTTTCCAACAGACCCGGGTTCAATTCCCAGCATCCACATGGTAGCTCACAACTGTTTGTAACTTCAGTTTCAAGGGATCTGATACCTTCACACTGTTGTACTTAAAATAAAATAAAAATATTAAAAAAAAAAGAGAGAGAACAAATCAGGGGCCTGACACAGAGGACCTCTGAAAGGCTCTGCCCTGCAGACTATCAATGCAGATGCTAAGACTTATTGGCAACCTTTGGGCAGAGTGCAGGGAATCCTAGGAAAGAAGTGGGAAACAGTAAGATCTGGAGAGGACAGGAACTCCACAAGGAGTGCAACAGAACCAAAAAATCTAAGCACAGGAGTCTTTCCTGAGATTCCAACCAAGGACTATGCATGGAGATAACCTACGATCCCTGCACAAATGTAGCCCATGGCAGTTCAGTATCCAAGTGGGTTCCATTGTAATAGCAAGAGAAACTGTCTCTGACATGAACTCATTAGCCTGCTCTTTAATTACCTCCCCCTGAGAGGGAAGCAGCATTACCAGGCCACAGAAGAATACACTGCAGCCACTCCTGATGAGACCTAATTGAATAGGATCAGAAGGAAGGAAAAGAAGACCTCCCCTATCAGTGGACTTGGGGAGGGGCATGCATGCAGACGGTTGAGGAAGGGAGGGGTTGGGATGGGAGGAGGAAGGGAACCACAGGGGGGATAAACAGTGAACAAAGTGTAATTAATAAAGAATTTTTTAAAATATGCTGGGAGATGCCATATTGCTCTGCCTTTAACACAGGGAACTCCCCAGAGACTCATACTCCCACCAAGGACTATTCATGGAGATAACCTAGAACCCTGACAATGCAGCCACTTCTGATTAGAACTGATAGACTAAGATCAGAAAGAAGGAGAGAAGGACCTCCCCTATCAGTGGACTTGGGGACGGGCATGCATGCAGAAAAGGGGGGGAGGGTGGGACCAGGAGGGGAGGAGGGAAGGGCTTATGGGGGGATACAAAATGAATAAAGTGTAATTAATAAAAGTTAAATAAAAAATTTTTAATAAAAGAAAAATATATATCCTGGGAAAAAAAGACTAGGGGAAATGTAATTAAATATACTACATTGTTAATAAAAAAAGAAATAGCAGCAGGGACATCATTTTTAGTAAGAAAATTGTTTAATTATAAGATTACAAGGGAAACAATGCCCTCATGAGCTTGAGAATTTTCTGTTTTGTACTTTCCCTCCTTTTTCAAACAAGCCTTCTGCAGACCCCTAGTTGAGATATCTCATGGGAAAGACATCTGAGACAATCGGCTTCAGAGTGCAGCGACCATGGAAGGTTTTTGCTTTGACATAGAGGGCTGTGAGAGGAAGTGTTAGTCCTTGCTGACAATAGTAGGTTGCAACATCATCAGCTTCCACAGGATGGATGGTGAGGGTGAAGTTTAATTCATCGTCATCACCACTGAACCTGTCAGGGATCCCAGACTCTAGACTGTACACATTAACGATCAGGAGTTTGGGAGGCTGTCCTGGTTTCTGTTGATACCAATGCATAAGATTTATGCCAAATTTATTGACACTGTCACTGGCCTTGCAGGAGATGGTGGCCTTTTGTCCTAGAGACACAGTCAAGGAAGCTGGAAACTGGGTCAGAACAATGTTCCTAGTGGAACCTGTAATGACAAACACACAAAACTCCTGTTGCAGATATGCTGATCTCAGTGTGAGACACGTGACTTCTATGACAGTAGTCACACACATCACTCTGAGCTGTGAGAAAATAAAAGGGAGCCTGGAAAAGGAAAAAAATCATCAAAGATACTGTAATTCCAATGATCAAGATCTCAGAGGCACGGAAAGCATCCATAGCTACAGCAGATGTTTTCAACACTTCCCTGCACCCTCTCACCTGGTACCCAGAACAGCAGCATCCACAGCAGGAGAGCCACTGACCCCATCTCTGAGAGCTGGACTAAAGACTGCTTCTTAAGACACTGACAAGCTGCCCTTAAAGATATTTGAACAGTGTGGACCATTGGCTCTTGACACAATATGCAAAGCAGCTCAGTAAATCTAGTGCTCAGCGGGACACCTGCTCTTGTTTCAGGAGTCCTTGGAGTAGGCAAAACCATTCATAGAGCATCTCAACACAACCTAAGAGATTTCATGCCTGCCCTAATGAATATTCACCCCATTTCTTTAAAATAATTATGTACAAAATATTTTGATTGTTTGTCTTCTTCCAACTCTTTCTAGATCTTTCCCGCCTCCCTACCCAGCCAACTTGATATTATCCCCACCCCTTCTCTCTCCTCTCTCTCTCTCTCTTTCTCTCTCCTTTTTTCTCTTCTCTCTAAAAAAAATCAGAACAAATAAAATAAATATGATTAAAAAGTACTGTATTGATGATCTATTGTAAGGAACAGAAAAATTTTAGGATCGTTATGAAATTTCAGTAATATCAAACTCATCAAGCAACAGTGCATTTCACATTGAGATCTTCAGCAGGAATAGAAAGCAACTGGATTTTAGGCAATAGAGAAAGAATATGTATTCCTTTAGTTTCAAGGGAATTTCTACAACTAAGTACCCATCAAGTCAAATCACTACATGTTCTCAGGAGCTAAGACCTTAAGAGACATGAGCAGGGAACACAGATCAGTGTGTGTTCACAGGGTCATACCATATGACAGTCCAAAATCCACTGGTGGACCTACAAGATACCCTGAAGACAAAGCAGTTGTCCCACTGGGACATATTCAGAGTGGAGACCTCCTATTCACCCAGCTGCAATTTTTTCAGTTCTTGTCACTAGAAGTTAGAACTGAGGAACCTAAGTTATCTTTCACAAGATCTGGTGCCCCAAATATTAGGAACTAATGTGAGACTGATTTTAAGAACATTAAATCTAAACTATTAACTTTAAAACATATTCAAAAATATAAGGAATTCGCTGAATTTTTTAATTAATTTATTTTTATTAATTATACTTTATTCATTTTGTATCCCAGCTGTACCCCACCCCTTCATCCCCTCCCAATCTCACCCTTTCTCCCTCTTCTCCTCCCATTCCCCTACCCAATCCACTGAAAGGAGAAGACCTCCTTCCTTCCATCTGACCCTAGCCTATCAGATCTCATCAGGAGGGGCTGCATAGTCTTCCTCTGTGGCCTGGGAAGACTGCTCCCCCCTCAGGGGGAGGTGATCTAAAAGCCAGCCACTGAGTTCATGTCAGAGACAGCCCCAGTTCCTCTTATTAGGGGACCCACTTGGACACTGAGCTGCCATGCATAGTGCTTGTTTGGAGTTTCAGTTTCATAAAATACCCCTGGGCCCAGATTTTTGGTTCTGTTTTATTTAGTCATTCTATAATATGCTCATGGACAAACAGGTCAAATATCATGAAAGTTTTCAACTATTATAGTCTTTGTAACAGATGGAAAACACAATAGAAACGTACAACCAGCCTAAATTCAGAGTTGTCAAGCCAAGTCCCAGTGAAACCTCTACAAAGCAACTCCCTCACCTAAAGATAAGGGTGATCAGAAATACTGTAAGAGCAGAGGATCGGGTGTTTGTTATGAGGCTAGTGTGTTCAGAAGCTATGCCTATAATGTCGCATCAGTATGACTGCATAAACACAGCTGAACAAGAATAAAAACAATGCACATGCTAATGTTAATGGGAGAAAGACCAAAAGGCCTAACCCTATCAGAACTACAGGCAACTAAGGAATGCTTAGTTGAGAGAATTTTCTCTAGGGAAGAGCACATGAATTGACACCAAATGGTCAGTGCTGAAAATATACATACAAGCAACATTAAGCAGACTGAGCAGGTTGTATTTAGGAAGATAGATAGATAGATAGATAGATAGATAGATAGATAGATAGATAGATATGTAACAAAAATTAATGAAAAAAGACCTTTAATTAGAAAAATAGGAAAGAATGATATATGGAACGGCTTATAGGGAGAAGAGGGAAGAAGGAAATGATGTGATTATAATCTCAAAAATTAAGAAGTAATAAAAAGTTGTATCCTACTACAATAATTGGCCCATTGGTTCCATGTGACTTTAAAAATTGTAACAGAACTTGTGTGTGTATGTGTATATATATATATGTATATATATATATAATTATATATGTATATATATATAATTATATATATACATATAATCTTCCAAGATGTGATGTTGTTTAAGTGAACAAAATTTTAGGCACAATCACTAAAGAAATAAGTGAATGACACAAGCTGATTTCAGCCAACTTGAACCACAATTTAAGCTCTAAATTTTGCCATCTTTCTCCTTGTGTGTGTGTGTATGTGTGCACGCGCGCGCGCGCGCGTGTGGGTGTGTGTGTCATATTGAGATTAAACCATATCTATCACCTTCCACAAAACTAACTTCAAATGGATCAAAACTTAAAATTCAAAACCTGAAAGTACTAGAAAAAAGCATATGCAATACCTTACATGATATAAGTATACAAAAGGACTTCAGAGGTCCCATTTATTGATTGTTGCTCTTAGAGCCTGTGCTGTTGGAGTTCTGTTCAGGAAGTTGTCTCCTGTGCCAATGATTTCTAGACTCTTCCCCACTTTTTCTTCTAACCAATTTAGTGTGTCTGGTTTTATGTTAAGGTCTTTGATCCACTTGGACATTAATTTTGTGTAGGGTGATAAATATGGATCTATTTGCATTTTTCTGCATGTAGATATCCAGTTGGACCAGCACCATTTGTTGAAGATGCTGTCTTTTTTTTTTCCATTGAATAGTTTTGGCTTCTTTGTCAAAAATAGAGTATTCATAGGTGTGTGGGTTTATTTCTGGATCTTCTCTTTGGTTCCATTGGTCCACCATTCTGTTTCTATGCCAATACCATGTGGTTTTTATTACTATTGCTCTGTAGTACAGCTTGAGATCAGAGATGGAGATACCTCCAGATGATCTATTGTTGTACAGGATGGTTGGTGTTGGAAATTCTGGGTTTTTTGTTTTTCCATATGAAGTTGAGATTTTTTTTCAATGTCTGTAAAGAATTGTATCGGTATTTTGATGGGAATTGCATTGAATCTGTAGATTACTTTTGGAAAAATGACCATTTCACTATGTTAATCCTACTGATCCATGAGCACAGAAGATCATTCCATCTTCTGATATCTTCTTCAATTTCTTTCTTCAGTGACTTGAAGTTTTTTTAAAACAGGTCTTTCATTTGCTTGGTTAGAGTCACCCCAAGGTACTTTATGCTATTAGTGGCTATTATGAAGGGTGTTGTTTCCCTAAATTCTTTCTCAGCCCTTTTGTCTTTGGTAGACAGGAGGGCTTCTGATTTTTTTTTTTTTGAGTAAATTTTGTATCCAGCCACTTTGCTGAAGGTGTTTATCAGCTGAAGGAGTTCTCTGACTGAATTTTTAGGATCACTCATATATGCTATTTTAGCATCTACAAATAGTGATACATTGATTTCTTCTCTGATACATATCCCCTTGATCTCCTTTGTCTTATTGCTCAGGATAGGACTTAAATTACTATGCTGAAGAGATATGGAGACAGTGGGCAGCCTTGCCTTGTCCCTGAATTCAGTGATATGGTTTCAAATTTCTCTATTGCTTTTGATGTTGGCTATAGGCTTACTATATTTAGGTATATTCCTTGTATCCCTGATCTTTCCAAGACTTTAAATATAAATGGGCATTGGATTTTGTCAAATGCTTTCTTGGCATCTAAGGAGACGATCATGTGGTTTTTCTCCTTCAATTCTTTACATGGTGGATTTTATTGATGGTCTTCCATATATTGAACCACCCTTGCATGTCTGGGATGAAGCCTGCTTGGTCATGGTGGATGATATCTTTGATGTGTTCTTGGATTCGGTTTGCAAGGATTTTATTGAGTATTTTTGCATCAATGTTCATAAGAGAGATAGGTCTGAAGTTCTCTTTTTTTCTTGGGTCTTTGTGTGGTTTAAGTATCAAGGTGACTGTGGCTTCATAGAAAGAGTTTGGCAATGTTCCTTCTGTTTCTATTTTGTGGAATAGTTTGGAGAGAATTTGAGTTAACACTTCTTTGAAGGTCTGGTAGAATTCTGTGCTGAAACCATCTGACTCTTGGTTCTTTTGGTTTGGTTTGGTTATGGTTTTGTTTTGATTTTTGTTGTTTGTTTGTTTGTTTGTTTGTTTGTTTGTTTGTTTGTTGCAGGGAGACTTTTGATGACTGCTTCTATTTCCTTGGGGTTATAGGACTATTCAATCTTTCTACCTGATCTTCACTTAATTTTGGTAGATGGAATCTATGCCATGGAAAATTATCCATTTCATTAAGATTTTCAAATTTTGTGGCATATAGGCTTTTGTAGTATGACCTAATGATTTTTTTTATTTCCTCAGGGTCTATAGTTATATCCCCCTGTTCATTTCCGATTTTGCTGATTTGAATAGTTTCTTTCTGCCCTTTAGTTAGTTTTGCTAAGGGTCTGTATATCATGTTGATTTTCTCAAAGAACCAGCTCTTGGTTTCATTGGTTCTTTAAATAGTTTTAATTGTTTGTAATTTATTGATTTCAGCCCTGAGTTTGATTATTTTCAACCATCTGCGCCTCCTGGGTGTATATGCTTCTTTTCTTTCTAGGGCTTTCAGTTGGCTCATTAAGTTGCTTATATGAGCTGTTTCAAATTTCTTCTTGAAGACACTTAGTGTTATGAATTTTCCTCTGAGCATTGCTTTCATTGTCTTCCATATATTTGGGTATATTGTACCTTCATTTTCATTGAATTCTAGGAAGTCTTTAATTTCTTTCTTTATTTCTTCCCTAACCCAGCTGTCTTTGAGTAGTGAGTTGTTCAGTTTCCATGTGTATGTAGGCTTTTTGCTATTTCTGTTGTTTTTGAGGTCCAGTTTAGTCCATCATGGTGGTCAGATAGAATACAGGGTATTATTTAAATCTTCTTAT